GCCACAATAGATTTAACAACAGACATAGGCTCATCAGCAGGGGTCAGCCCTCAAACCCTCAAACTCCTCTGTCAACACAATCTGGCCACAATTTTCTCCAAGCAGAGTTCAAAGTCCTGTAGTCACTCCTCCCAACCTACGTATAAGGTTAATGCAGTGGAGGATGCATGAAGTGTTCTCCTCCAAAAATCTCTTAGGGTCAAGTGAGTGTCTGAGGTCGCATTCAAGCAACTTTGAAACATGCATTGGTGAGAGTTTTTTAAAGTTTGCAATGACCTGCTGTCCATGGGCTGGAGTGAGGAGTGGTAATTCGGGGGCTAATACTTTACTGTGATGAACCCAAACTCCTCTAAAAATAGCGTCATCCAAGTTTGGGAGGATGAGCAGTGCATTGTCCATTACTAGGAGGCACTTGCGATCCAATTCTTTCCAGGAGGTAATTCTTTCACACTAGGGCCAAACCCTTCCTGAACCGACATTATCGAAGAAAATGTCCCTGTGACCCATGCCTTACTATTAGATTTCCAAAACACACAGAATTTACTCTCATAACATTGTTTTTTCCCCTGAACACTCTGGGATTTTCAGAATGACAACTAGTAGTGGCTTACTTTGAAATCCCCACAAGCAATTACACAGAACATGAAGCGTCAGCACTTCTTCATAGGCTTATGTCCTCCTGTGTAATGTTGTTCCTCATTGGCATTGTCTTCCAATTGAACACTTGTTCAGAGTTTTCAGTCCTTCAGCCACTATTTTCTCCTTGAATTCACAAGCACATATTTTTCAGTTGCTTGTGTCCAAACTGGCAGCCTTACCACATTCCACTTGTAATTCCACTACGGTACATAAATCTCTCAAACCAAACCTTTGCTGGCCTAAAATTCACTCTCATCACTAGTTGCAGCAGCAAATTCTTTCCAGATCATCGTGCAAACCTGCCATAGCCCTTTCACAAATAATCAAATCTAGACTATCTCCACTAATTGTTTCTTCTGTTTAATATCCACACCAATAAAAACTTCACCACCGCTAAAGTCTGGGTGATCTCATTTTTGTTCAGCATATTTACCCCCCTTGCAACAAAAAACCAAAACAATCCTTGATTTCCTTTTTTTCTTGGCCACAATGAAACTATGGTTGTATAGGGTTTGTTAAACATCCTGGCCATTCCGCCACACTTACATCACCACTTTCATATTGTTCAATGATGTTAATTTCTTAAATCCAGTCGATTTTCTCACCTTCTTTTTTTACCAAAGAGCTAGGCTATGTCCCTCGGAGCTTCTTTGGACCATGAAGCTTATTTAGTACTGCATGCACTAAAATGAATGTAATATTTATGAAAAATTAGTAGGAGCAGTGAGGGGACCTTCGCTCACTGGTAAAAAACAATGCCCACACACTCTGGCTGGGTAGGGAGGCCGCCCTTGCTCACAGCGAACGTACACGTCCTGGACGAACTACTATTCGGCGAGTCCAATCTATGATTAGCGAGCCCATGTTTTTACGAAAATATCGCTATGATTTCCGACAAATTACGACCTCGAGACCTACGATTATCGAGGGACCACTGTATTGGTTCCAAGAGCCGTGACTTAACCTAGTTTTGGCATAAATCCAGACATAAATGCCTTAAATATGCCTGAAATGGAAGACAAACATCTGTAAAACAATATATATAATTCACAAAAGAATAAACTATCATTAATCCTTAAAGAACAACTAAAAACACATTTTAGTCATTTTCTTTTTCTTAAACTGTCCAATGTAGATCCTACTTATGTGGGTAGCACTCTGACCTTGATTTCCTCCATTTGAAAGCATGTAAAAAAAAAAAAAGTAGATCTACTTTCGGAGCACTACATGAGTGAATGTAGATCTATGTTTGGACAGTTTAAGGATTAAAGAATAATGAGTACAATTAAAAAAATTATTTACCTTGTGATTTGCCCTTAACTATTTGAGGGTCCAGAGGCCAAATCTCAGTGACAGCCAAGTCCAAAAATTTTCAAAAAATGTACCAATTTTGATGGAAAATTGACGAAATTATGCTCTCGCGAATTTTGCTTTAACCCTTTCAGGGTCCAAGGCCCAAATCTGGAGTCACACACCAGTGTCCAAGAATTTTCAAAAAAAAAATTTATTTTTTCTTATGAAATCGTAGAGAATCTTTTTGTGAAGGTAATAAAACAAAAAGTACGAAATTTGGTGGAAAATTGACGAAATTATGCTCTCGCGAATTTTGATGTGTCAGCGACATTTACGAATCGGCGATTTTGCCGACTTTGACTCCCATTTTAGGCCAATTACATTATTCCAATCAACCAAAATTTCTTAGCTTTTTCACTAGTTTTACTTCTTTTCTATCGATTGAGCACAAGAAATCGCCAAGTAAAACTGTTCAACTACAAAATAAAGTGATCGAAATTGTAAATTTGGCCAATTTAACACAAAGTTCAAAATATTCCAATTTCAAAATAGGGTCCAGAATGAACAATGTGGGCATTCCGGCACTAAACTAACATTTCCTCTGTCATTAGTTATGTTTTGAGGCTTTACAAATAAATTCCATTTTGATTTTTTATTCACAAAAATGAATTTTTATTCACACCAAAAAATAGAAGATTTACTGTTATGCCATACTGTAATAATTGTATAAATATCATCACCATATTTGTGAATGTATATTAGACCCACCAGCTGACGTGTATTAGATGTGTGAGGTCGTTTGTTTACCTTGAATAACGGCAAAAATTTAACTTTTTCCCGCTACTTTGAGCTCATTTCAAGTCATTTCCAGTGCTAAAAACCAATCAAAATCATCCTATTTCTGTAATATGTCTTCCATTCTATCAAATGAGACCAAGAAATCGCAAATACATCTATAAAAAACATACGAAAAAACACTGCAAAGTTGCTGTTTTAATCGAAAAATTATGATTTCATTTTTTTTCTCATTATACACAGTGTGTTGCAGGATCTGTTTTATGTGGTGCACACATACCACATAGATGTATTCTCTCATATCTAGGCCCAAATGTACCACTCACAGTTTATCAGAGTGAGCTGAGCTCATGGCGTAGATCTACGGTTTGGACCCTGAACGTAAAGCCGTAGATCTACGGGACGGACCCTGAAAGGGTTAAATATTGTCAGCGATATTTACACATCGGCGATTTTGCTGACTCCCATTTTAGGCCAATTACATTATGCCAGTCGACCAAATTCTTAGCTATTTCACTAGTATTACTTCTATTTTATCAATTCAGCACAAGAAATTGCCCAGTCAACTGTTTCAGTTACCCAATAGTGATCAAAAAATGGTAATTTGGCCAATTTAACACTAAGTTTCACAATATTCCAATTTCAAAATAGGGTCCAGAATAAACAATTCCTAGCACTAAACTAACATTTTCTCTGTTCATTAGTATGTTTTCAGGCTTTACAAATGAATTTTATTTTGATTTTTTATTCACGCCAAAAAATAGGAGATTTACTGTTATGCAACATTCAAATAATTTTATAAATAATATCAGTACATTCATGAACATATAGTAGACCCACCAGCTGATGTATTAGACGCATGACGTCATTTGTTTACACTTGAACATCAGCAAAAATTGAACATTTCCAATACTTTGAGCTCAGTTTCAAGCCATTTTTGCTACTAAAACTAATCAAAACCATCTTTATTTCTGTAATATATCTTCCATTCTATAAAATGATGCCGAGAAATCACGAAGACAACTGTAAAAAACATACAAGAAACACCACAAAGTCGGTTTTAATCCAAAATTATGGTTGCAGTTTTTTCTCATTATGCACTGCGTGCTGTAGGATTTGTTTTATGTCGTGCACACTTACCACATAGATGTATTGTCTCGAATCTAGGCCCAAATTTACCGCTCGCAGCTTGTCCAAGTGAGCTGAGCTCATAGCTTCATGGACCCTGGCTTCTGAGTCATAGAACTATAATAGGATGGACCCCGCAAAGGGTTAAATAGGACTCGATGGGTAAAATTGCTGATGTGTAAATGTTGTTGATGCAGCAAAATTTGTAATAGCATATTTGACTTATGACAGGCTATCTGACCAGTATGCATACATAAATAATGTATATTAGAGCTGATTTCCCCTCTTTTTTTATTTCAGTATACAGTATACTACTGTATAAACATTTAAAAATATACCAGAAACATTATAAATGGTGCACAGGTGACATTAAAACAATATCAGTGATGGTTTACAAACCCACTGCTGTATATATAAGGTGGATATGGGAGTAGTGCGGCAGATGTTGCAAGTGTATGGAATAGGTATCAAGTTAGTAAATGCTGTTAAGAGTTATGAGGATAGTGAGGCTCAGGTTAGGGTTTGTATGAGAGGGGGAGATTACTTCCCAGTAAAAGTAGATTTTAGACAGGTATGTGTAATGTCACCATGGTTGTTTAACATATTTATAGATGGGGTTCCCCTCAAGTAAGGTTCCTTGATGCCAGAATACCTTCCATTTCCTTCCCCCCCCCCATCACTGGCACTATAATCCTACAGGTTTAGTGCTTCCCCTTTGATTATAATAGGTGGGGTTGTAAAAAAAAATAAATGCTAGGGTGTTGGGGAGAGAGGTGGGATTAAATCAGTAAGCTATGGTAGCCTAGGTTTATTAAGTATTATTACCCACAATGCCTCATGCAACCTGAATTTTCTTCCTAGAAGGCACGAGATAGCTAGCAACCTAAATAACACAGCCGAGTGCTGAAATTATGGAATGTAGTAAATTAAAGACTTAGAAAAATTATGTATGCTAATATATTAACCCTTAAACTGTCCAAACATAGATCTATGTTTTACATGCCTTCAAATGTAAAATAAAAGGTAGATTACATTCGGAGTGCTATGCGAGTTAACGTAGATCTATGCTTGGACAGTTTAGGGGTTAAACACTTGCTTACTAATATGTTGGACACAGTTATAAGGTTAAAAGTGAAATATTCTCGTGACATTGGTCAGTAGTAAAAATTTATTTTATAAAGTATATTCAAGTGAAACACTGCTATTACAAAGCATTAATTTTGGCTATATCTTTTTTGGACAGCACCTGTACTCCATCTCTGTAGGTACCAAGCTTCAAGGAAAGTCCCTTTACCTTTTTGTTGTCTTTTGGCTTACATTTTGATGACTTTGTAACCTGTAAAGAAAAAAAATCAATAAGAAAACAGCATTAAAAAATTTTTGTGATGTAAATGCTCTATTTTATCTACCATTCCTGCTCAATTTTTACTCTAAACCATTATCTTATTTTCTTCTAGTGTAAATTTGTCAGGGGTCCTAAAGCCATCACTCCTACTTCTCAGGTACTGTAGGAACCTTACAAATTTACACTGTAAGAGTAAATTCATAAATGTCCTACAGGACCTGAGGAATGTGCGTATTGGCTGGTATAAACAACCCTGAAGCCAAGGGAAAGTCAATTTAATGGATCCAAGAGCCCCACCTGCAAAACGGAAACCCCCCTTCAGGAGTAGAAAATATTCACATAGCTATATTTTAGGTTATGTAACAGTTAATTTATAACAATTATAATAATCATGGAGCACTAAATCCATAGGATTATACAGCACATGTGGGGGTGTGTAAGGTATTCAGACAACAGCACAGATCCAAATCCCTTGATCAAGAGCCCCTTCAAGGGGGGCTCCTTGGCGTGGGGAAAAGGCTCTTGGGCTAGGAATTAGCCCTGTCTTCCCCTTTTTTCCTCAGACCGAACCTAATTACCCCCCATTCCCCCCTCCCCCATCCCATCCCCCCCTTTTTTTTTCCATTCCTCCTCCTCCCCCCTCCCCCCCCTTTTGCCCTTCCTTTTTTTGGCCTTTGGGGATTTTTCCCACAGGCCGTTTTTTTTCCTAGGTAGGGGAAAGACACCGGGTCCACCCTTCCGTTGAGGTTTTTGGGCGGTACTAGTTTGGGCCGGGGAATCTGGATTCCGGGGGAATTCCCGATCCCCCCCCGTACCCCGGGATATTTTTTGGATGTCTTTCGGGCACGGGTTATCTCTGGAACCCCCTTTTTCGGTTTCCGGGGGTTGGGGGCCGAAGGGGGTAGCTTTGGGCGATACCGGGCCGCCCTCTCTTTTGTCCACCGAGGTACCCGGGCAGATGGGGTTGCTATCCCAAAATTGGGGGTTTTTACTGGAAAAGGTGGGGTATAGCAGGGGTTTTCCATGCTGCATCTCGCTACTAGGGGGTGTTGGGGCCCCGGGGGCCGGGGAGGGGATTTCCGGCCCTTTCATTCCCCCGGGGAACTTTCCCCCCCTCCCCCCCCCCCCTTTTTTTTTTTCTTTTTTTTTTTTTTATTTTCTCTTTCTTTTTTTTTAAAAACAAAAAGCAAAGGAGTAACCTAACCAGGCACCCCACCCATGAACCCACTCCCCCCGGGGCCCCCACTTCTTGATACCGACCCCATTCTGACCCCCCTTTGGGTTTTTAGACCACTCTTGGGACACTCCTATGCCCCGTACCCTTGCGGTGTTTTCCTACCCCTTCGGGTCCGGGTTTCGACTGACTCCTTTCGATTTGTCGAACCCGCCTCCTTTGACTATGCCCCGGGCTTCCCCTCTACGGTACGCAATTTTCAAATCGCCCCCCCATTCACCGGACCAACTCCCCACTCCAAACGCCAACTCAATCTCCTGAATCTCCTTCGTTACCTTCCCCCATTCTACTCGAAAGACCGCACTCAAGCACTCCCTCCCACGCTCTTTTGGGACCACACAATGGACTAAAATTCTTTATTTTAACCGACTTCTTCTTCTGCCACCTTTCTGACCATAGTATTGGCAAAGCGCTCCTCGCATTTTGGGTAAGATATTTCATTTCATGCTCTCAGAGGGGTATCCATCGTCACTGTCCAAATGCTGCTATGCTTTTCTCTCCTTCGAATACAACTACTCCTTCACTATTGAAAAACATCTTTCTCTCAATTTTTGTAGTGGACTGTCATTCTGCCCCCATACCTAGTCCAACAGAATTTCCGTCAGTGGCAATAATTTTTTAAACAGCTGAATTCCAGGTTTCCCCCAATCCTAAAAGTAGACACTTATTTTTTTCCCTCCCCGGGGGCGGGACTTTACCCTTGAAATGGGGGGCCTCGTTTAATTTTTGACACCAAAATCCCTCCTCTGTAAGTCGGGGGACTCGTTACAAGTTCAAAGGTGATACCCACCGCAACAAATTAAAATTTGCTGGCGTTTTGGTCACCCAGCGAAAAAAAGCAGATCTAGGTCGAATGCCCTCTGGGGTGCCGACGACCATTCAAAAATTACATTTTGCAGTAAACCTCCATTTTTGCCTTAAAATTGAAAAATGAAGCTCACCCTTCGTACTCCCGCCGTTCCCCAGGTCACTTAAAGAACGTAAATCCGTTGCCTAAAAGAGGCAGAAGGTCTCCCTTATCTAGGCATTACTCATCTCCGCCTCCAAGGGAGACTACCCCGGTTCTTTTCTGTTTTTCCAAACACCCCCCACTTCGGGGTCCCATTTTCTGCAGCCTCCTCTGTTTTACCCCCCCATAGCCCTAAAAAGCTCTAATCCTTTGCTGTCCTTGGGCCTACGCCTGACTAAAACTCAGCGTTCTCACATTTTCGCGTCCTTCCCACAACCCCAGTACGACAAGCCCTCGTACACACCTAATACCAATCCCCTCTCCCAAAGTCCAAAAAATCCCATTGCCAAATCTTTTTTCCCCCCTTCCTTCCCTTTTTCCCACCCCCACACTTTACCTTTCCAGTCTCTGTACTAGTTCTTCCCCTCTCTCTGGCTCTACTACAATGGGAATTAAACCCTCCTCCTCGTACAGCCTTCCCCCCCCCCATCCCCTCCCAATTTCTCCCCTTCTCCCACCCCCGGGTTCTCCCTCTTCTTCCCCCCCCACACTTCATCTCTACCCCTTACCCTTCCCTCCCCCTCTTTTTTTGGTACAGTCCATTACGTCCCAATCTTTTCCACCCCCCCCCTCCTTCTATCTCCAATAGGGTCTCCAACATCTTTGAATTCAAAACACTTGAAGCCATTTCAGAATATATTGCAGAGACTAAACCTTCAAGGGACACTGATTCACTTCCTTTTCCTTTCTCTTCCTCTCCTCCATCTTCCCAAAACCCCATTCTTCGAAACCCCTTCCTTCCTACTTGAACGTCTTCCAAGCCCCCAAAAACGTTGATTTTTCTAACCCCTCAGTCCGTGGGTGCCTTACCACAGATTCCTGATATTTTCTTCATCGCCAACATGGCCTATTTACAGGGGAATATCCGGGCCCGGGGAATGGGGGTAGTTTCAATTTTGCTTTCCATTTTTTCCCCTTTGGGTCTTGCTTACAAGAACCAAAATTACACTCCGCTGTTTTCCAACCTATCTCGGGCATAATTTATTGTATTCTTCGGACCCTTTCTCAGGGGGACCTTTAATGAAAGTGCCCTTCTTCTACGCAATATATTCCTACTTTTTCAACTATTTGCCCAAAACCTCCGCATTACACTGCACCCTACCCCTTGAAAAAAGTGTTTAAAAATACGTTCTTTATACTCTCTCCTTCTGGGCATTTTGTACCCCAACTTGCCTTTTTTTTTTCATCCTTACCACCACCACTTCTTTTACTTTTGATTTTAATGCCCATCATTTCCCTGGGGGGGGGGTCTCATTGTGCCCACTGCATCCAGTTGGAGGCTTTTTCTCGCCTCTCCCCCCCCTCCTGTTTTAAATACGGGTACTCCCCCCCATTTTGACCTCTACTCATACTCCTCTTTGCATCGTCTACATCTGCTCTTCCTCCCCCCAAAAACTTCACCGGTCGTTCCCAACTTACATGACATATCATTTTCCGTCATTCTTACTTCTCCTTCCATTCACCCCCTTTTTTCCATAGCCCTCCGGGCAATTTGATCGGGCAAATTGGATCTTTATCACACCTCACTGCTTTTGTGAGGTTCCTTCTTCATCCTCCATTATGACTCCTACACACTTCTCGACTCTTTTATACCGCAGCTTCCTTTCTAACCCCCAAAAACCCAGGCGGGCATTCTCAGAAGTGCTCCCTTTGGGTGGTCCCTGCTTGTGCTCGTGCAGTACTTTTTAAAAACGGCTGCATGGGGCAGGTACCGTACAAATAAACTGCTGAAGATTTTCTTTTTTTTTAACAGAAGCATGCAACGCCGCCGTGTCATCCGAAGCTAAACGCACTTGGGGCGAACTATTTTCCACCACCCCTCTGCTTCTTCTATGATGCAGTCGGAAAAAAAGTGAGGAAATTATGTAAATACTTCCTGACCCGGCTCCTTTCTACGGGTCGCTGGTTTTTGATGTAGCAAACCCCTCGACGTTGCCTGGAACTTGGCACCATCTGGTCCGTATTTCCCGAGGGCCCATCTTGCCCCTCGTTTTTTCCTAAAAGTCCTGCCAAAAGTTAGTACCCTTGGACTTTTCTTCTCTCAGAACGGGAGCAACGCTCCAGCTTCCCGATCATCGCAGCTGGGCCTGAGACATTCATAAACATGTTACAAAATTTACCAAACGGTCAGCCCCTTTTAGTCCTCTTACACCCTTTAACTTATTTGGCAAAGGAAATTCTTCCCCCACGTGGAAATCTGCCTTTTCTCCCCTTTTTCCCCAAACCGTTACTACAGGGCAGTGCCTCCCACTTCGCCCCACGCTCTTTTCAGTGCAGTTTTCAAAAATGATGGGAAAGTCTCGTAAAACAACGTTTAATTGTATTTAGAGACACACAACAGTCTCTTTTTCTTCCCCCTAGTCAAAAGGGTTTCGTAAGGTCGTTCTACCCAAAAACCCCTTTCCCACGGGATACTATGTTCGTAATGCCTTTTCAATAACCCCTCAGTTTTTTGCCAATTTTTTTACCTTAAAGCAAATGACACAAAAAGGAGGTAAATATTTTGGGCCCCAGGCCCATTCCTTAGGCCCCGAGGCAATCTACCATCCTCCTTAAGAAATTTTTTTAAATGACAGACATTTCCGTGTTCGAGTCAATAATTTCTTTCCCCCCCGGACTTCGTCCAAGCTGAAGGGGTCCCCCAGGAGTGTTCTAAGCACAAAACTTTCTCCTTGCTATAAATTTTTGGGCCCCTGTTCTTCCACCCAATATTTGTCATCACTCTATGTTTGAACTTTGCATTCTGTG